TAATTCTGTCTCACAGGATCACTATTTGCATTTTCATCAAAACAAACATAATTACATATATTCTGAAGGCTTTTCTGTGGCTGTTGAATTGGGCTCTGAACTGACTAATAGATGTTAGTGCCTGACCCAGGACTTCCAGTAATTGATTTGTGACTTCTCCGTGACTTCTCTTCCACCCACTCTGTTATCAGATGATTTGGAATGAACTTGGCAGTCATCCTTATTGTGTTGAACCGGGACAATTATACTGCACTTTAATGTTGGATTGCAGTTATAGAAAATGTTGACTCCGTGAATATTTATTACAATTCTGGGGTATGTTCTGTCTCTGTGGCTTGGGTTTACATAATAATATATAGGAAGCTGCCATTACATGCAATGGCTGTAATGTAATTAATGTTGCTCTCTTTGCGAGTTGGAAAGTGGATATTGTTTGTTGATACAAGTTTCACTCAAATTAAATATATATATGTTATTTCACAAGAAATATATAAATGTGGAGAAAATGTCATTAGGAATACACATCAAAATATGATATGGCATTCATAAATGAGCACTATGCCATAAATGAGCACTTTAGGCACTGTAAACACCTGTAGAAACAGAAGTCAACACTATATCCACCAATCATCTGTTTAATAGTGTTTCTAAGGTGGGTTTTTTTTTTAGAGTGAATCCATCAAAGCACCACAAAAGATGCAGGCGCATTAGTATCAGAGGTACAGAGAACATGGTTGCTCTTCAAGCTGAAGATATATGAGCCTGTTCAATGCCTGTTCATGCCTGATGGCAAATATGAGGAAAGGTTTGATCCTAATTTAAAAATTTTTGCTACTGATTATTTCGATTTAAAATGATGAATGAGTAGACTGTTCGTTTTCTTCTCTGATTTCCTCTCCTTTGTTAAAGCAGTTAAAGGCTTGTGCAAGTAGGTAGGCAGTGTTTTCTCTTCCATAGTTGCTATTTGAACATCTGTGGAATAAAATGAGCCCCTATTTTTAGCAAAAACAAAGACCACTGAATATTTAATGATACTAAAACTCTGCATTTGCTTTTAACCTATTTAAACAGCTGGGATGTCTGGTAAGGCGTTAAATGATCCTCTCATATATGAACAACTTCCTGTGACCATTTTAACTTACCGTTATGTTTTATTAACTTTGGGTAACTTTGGTTGATAGTGAGATCACATTCATGATGGCACCACAGGAAACAGCAGTGGAGAGTTTAACTGTGTGAAAAGTAAAGAACTTCTCAAACGAGTGCAATAAAGACTATTTCAGTAATAGTCTTAATAGATTAAGTATTAGAATATTGTCATAATACCACAGTTATGATGCAAAATAAATATATCATAAAGGGCTGTAGGATTTTGTACAGCTGCTTAAAGAATTTCAATCACTGTGAGTCTCGAGCACAGTAATAAACAGCAGAATCTTCAGTTTTCAGACTGTTCATCTGCAGATACAGCTGCTGTCTGTTGTTGTCTCTGGAGATGGTAAAACGGCCTTGAACCGACTGAGAGTAGAATGCTCTGTTACCATTGCCCCAGATGTGAGCAATCCACTCCAGCCCTTTTCCTGGGACCTGTCTAATCCAGTCCATAGCGTAGCTGCTTAATGTGAATCCAGAGGCTGTACAGGTCAATCTGTGAGATTCTCCTGGCCTTTTAACCACCGGTCCAGATTCTGTCAGAGTCTGACCACCAAGACCTATCAATAGAAATAAACAGGCAGTTAAAAAAATAACATAAGAACATGAACGAGTTTTTGTGAAGAGTTTTACCTGCACAGCAGACAGTCAAAATTAGTAGCACTGTGCTACAGTCCATCTTGTTTAACTTAGTCAGTCCACTAGTCTCTCCAGACTTGAAGCAGCCAGATAAGTAGGTGGAAGACATGTAAATATTTGCATATGTTGGGGACCTCAAACAAAGGAGTACTCAAATACTTAACATTTCAAATGAATCTGAAATTAAATAATGGAATTAAAACATTTTCACCAATTTCTTATGGAAAACACATTTACATAATTTACAGAAAATTTAGTATTAAATTATGCCTTAACACCTGAAAAAGGTGATGTGATGTAGCATCAAATGGAGAGTAACTGTTTATTCAGGCGTTATAAATTATACTGTATACTTTTAAGCGAGATGGACTTACCTCTCATGTCTGAGAGAGGGTGAGTGACTTGACATCTTGACCTTTATGTGTAAAATGATACTGTGCTAAAACTGACTTTATCTGCTTTTGCTAATAGTAAATCATCTTCTCAAACATGTAATCAAAGTATAAGTCTCAATAATATTTTGAATGAGAAATGTAGTTGCAGTTATGAAAATGTCTGTTTTAATTCTGTGTGTGTAGACATGATTCAGCTTTTACTTTGGCAAATTAGTGTCTCTCTGTGTTTGAGACCAGCAGCAGGAATGTGAAAAGTAAGAAATGTGTCTCTGCAGGCCATCATTATGCATGATTTTTCATAAGAGAAATCTTTTTAAGTATGTTGTAATTATCAAACACAGAGTCATGATTTATATGTGATTTTGCTCATAGGTAATCATCTCAGTTGCTTTTAATACTAATCAGAATTGAATTAAGTGTAAGTTTAACCAACATAAGATGGAGATACACTGAGATTCCGTATGGAGTGGGTTGTTCAGGCAACGATGGCATGATTGGAGGCTGTGTGTATTTGTGCAACAAGGATGGGAGGGGGAATGAATGAGACACTAAGGACCCCCTAGTCTAAAAAAAGAATGTATAAAAGATTTGTGCAGATGAGAGAAGTTGTTCATTCCTTCGTCTCCTGTGAGATAAGCAGTACAGAAGATTAAGAAGTTCACACTTGGAAATTCCAGCAGAGATGCCAGAGGGATCAACCGCTGCCTGAACTGTGGACTCACGATCCCTTTCTCTCCTGGCATCTAAAATCTATTTCAAACGATACAAATGAATTCCTACCTAGAACTGCCTCAATGTACAAACATTTATAGCAACTGTACAATTGACTTTTTTCATTTTTGTGTGTTTTGGATTACTTTTGGTAAAACAATCAATCAAATCTTGAGCTGAAAGAATGATGTGTAGAACAAAAATTGCTAAAACAGAAGGCACTTGACCTAAACAGTATTGTAACGTTCTCAAGAACCAGACTTTTAATCTCAGTTTGTCCGTTTATTCCGTAACACAGGCAAACGGGCCGTTAACTCTGGGGAGAGTGCTCTCGTACAACACCTCACTTCAGCCCCGTACAGTCACACAACAACAAGGACCCCCCCTCCCCTTCCTGCACACATTAACTCCCTTTTTCCTGCAGCACAACCAAACATGTAAGAAATAGCAACAGTGCGCAGAGATAGCCAACCTTTCACTGTAAAATAACATTTAACCATCGTTACACTGCCCCCCCAGCAATAAAAGGTGTTTTTGAGTTTGTCAACCCACACAGTCTGTAATTAAAACATCACTGACTACTGACTGTGAAGGCTTGTTGCGTAGCAGGCAGGAGTCAGGCCCACATGCAGAACTCAGAATCAGGAAACAAGGACTAGAAGCAAAGAAAACAAATTTAGTATCATTGAGCAACAAAAGCATAATCAGAGGACTAAATATAAGGCTTGGACATAAAGCACATAAATCCAAAAGGATACATCAAAATCCCACAAAAATTCCAAACCCTGGAGCCATTTTTATTAACTTTTATTTGCATTTTATTTTTTACGTTTTTAAACCTACCACACAGCAATGTGTTTTTATTTATCTTCTGATACATCTATATACTAAATGTACTTTATAAATCTGTCTTAAATCATATGTAGTTAGTATATTTTTGGGTAAACTAAATGTTTTATGATAAATAGTGTTTTAAAGGACGTTTTTACTGTAATCCACTACAATTGGAAGCTTCATTTTCTCAGCCCTGTTGAAGTTAGTTTCTGATCAGTTTGGCACAGTTTAATTGAAGCTCGTCTTTGTACTTCAGATGCTTCAGGCTCTTAAATATTCAACATCATGACTGTTTCTCCTGCTATAGTGACTACTAGCTATAACAGACAGAGTTTAAGATGAGAGTGGAAAAAAGAGACAACAAAGATCTGTTTTTCTAAATCTGGTGAAATCCAAACTCACTTGCTCGAAAGGATAGGCTACAGGAAGACATGTTGCACATTTGACTCCGTGATCAAGTTTGCAAAAGTGTATGCACTAGCTGGTAGAATGGATGCATTAGGATAAAGTTGCATTTTGTGGTTCAACTGTTGCAACAGTAACATCTGTTAATATGAGCATCCTGAAAATACATTTTATTCTGACTGATAAACAATCCAATTCCTTCAGTGTTTTAAGTTGGAAAAAGATTAGGTCACAGGGTGCTTTCTTTTTAAAGGAAAGCACCCTGTGACCTGATCTGTGACCACAGCACAGTCACATATACTGGTGGAGTGATTGCTGATCTAGTTGTTTCCTAAAGACAGAGACTTAACACTGACTGCCCTCTAGTGTCCTGAGAAGATCTGCCACAGGAGTTTTAAGTCTAAATTCTAAAACATGGTTATTTCTTTTTTATCTGGACAGTGATTTTAACAATCACATTTTCATTTGTGTGTTTATTTTATTAATGTATTTAGTCATTCATTTATTTAGTTAGTTTTTATTTTTCTATGTGTATAAGGGTAAGTGAAAAGAATTTCCTAATACACGTATTTTCCTGTCTGAGCCAACCTATTGCAAAGCTGCTATCAATCAGAGAATAACAAGAGACCTGAAAGGTCATGGTCAAAGACTGTCCAGGCTGCACAACCCTTGAGTTAAATATTGATACCTTGGATGGCATCAATAATCTCTCTCATCATGTTCTCTTTGCGTGTTCAGGCTTCCTTCCACAATCCAAAGACATGCAGTTAGTGGAGTTTCTATTGGTATTTTCCTCTAAAACTTGTTTATTCTTATTTCTCCTGAATCATGTAGGATTTTGTACAGCTGCTAAACAAGCTCCAGTCACTGTGAGTCTCGAGCACAATAATAAACAGCAGAATCTTCAGTCTTCAGACTGTTCATCTGCAGATACAGCTGCTGTCTGCTGTTGTCTCTGGAGATGGTAAACCGGCCTCTGACTGAATCAGAGTAGAACATGCCACTACTATCAGTATAAATGAAAGCAATCCACTCCAGTCCTTTTCCAGGAGCCTGTCTGATCCAATGCATCCAGTGGCTGCTGAATGTGAATCCAGAGCCTGTACAGGTCAGTCTGTGGGATTCTCCGGGCCTTTTAACCACAGGTTCAGACTGAGTCAGAGTCTGACCATCAACACCTGTCAAGAAACAAACAGGCACACAATAAAAGAAAAAGTAAATTATCTAAATCATAAATTAAAATAACTTTTTTTTTCTTTTTTGTATTTATTTATTTATTTACTAGAGAGTTTTACCTGCACAGCAGACAGTCAAAAGCAGCAGCACTGTCCTACAGTCCATCTTGTTTAACTGTGTGTGTGTTGGTCCACTATCTCTAGATGGTTTCAGCAGTCTCATAAGTAGAGGTGGAAGAAAGAATATTTGCATTTGCACCTCCTCAATCCTATGACAGAAATATTTAATAATTAAAGAGTTTTTACTCAGAATGAATAACCCCGCCTCACAAAAAGAGAAAATAGAAACTGTGGTAAACACTGTGAACTGTTAATTTGTGTACATTTTTCTCTGTTGTCACACAAGTTATTTCATTATTTGTTGACAAGTGAAACTTCACTTGTCAGTGTTCTGTATCACTGTGCAGTAACATGCACAGTAATAGACAACTGTGTCCTTGGGCTGTAGATTATGTCCTGTTATTGTCACTTTGCCAGTGGAATTGTCTCTGCTGATGCTGAACTTGTTCTTAAAAACATTGTTATGGTCACTGCTCCCATCATATCAGATGTGTAAAATCCATTCCATTGGTTTTCCTTCATTCTGTGTGATCCAAGTATTAGTAATTCCATTGTATTTAGTAGTGCGAATTGACCAAAGCTTCTCACAGGATGCAGTAGCCAGCAGCAGTATCTGGGCTGCAGAGAACATGGTTGTTACTGAAGCTGAACTGATATGAGCTCTTCTGCCCTCTCACTGATGCAGCCACATACTGAACAGTTTTGTGGAAGTGCTTGGTGTTCATTACAATAAAAGGACTGTGCGTTTGAAATGCCATAGTTGAAACCACAGTTGACCAGTTGAAACCCACGGATATAATTTTTTTTTGTTTTGTTTATTATATTTATGCTTTTTTTTACTACCTTAAGGCATTTTATTTCTCAGTTTTTTGTATTATTGTAGGGTCTTTACCTTAGAATATAAAGTTCCCTGAGGCATCTTTTGTGGTGATTTTGCACTATATAAATAAAATTGAATTGAATTAAACTCAAAACATTTTGTATTAAATGTATTGTTGTGATACATACAAAGCAGGAAAAAATGTTTCATTAGCAGAATTTATTATTGTTATTGAATCTTAAAAAAAAAAAAAAAAAAAAGCAAAACTCAAAACAAGGATGTTGTTTTGAGGGTGAGTTTGAAATAGGATTTTGTACAGCTGCTCAAATGCTTTCAGTCACTGTGAGTCTCGAGCACAATAATAAACAGCAGAATCTTCAGTCTTCAGATTGTTCATCTGCAGATACAGCTGCTGTCTGCTGTTGTCTCTGGAGATGATAAAACGGCCTTGAACCGACTGAGAGTAGTAAGTGTTGCTACCACTGCCCCAGATGTGAGCAATCCACTCCAGCCCTTTGCCCGGTGCCTGTCTGATCCAATCCATACTGTAGCTGCTGAATGTGAATCCAGAGGTTGTGCAGGTCAATTTATGGGATTCTCCAGGCCTCTTATCCACTGGTCCAGATTCTGTCAGAGTCTGAGAATCTACACCTGTCAATAGAAATATTCAGGCCGATAAGAAAAGAAAATTAAATACTTTCAACAGATGTTAAAAGAACATTAAAATCGTTTTAGTAGAGTTTAACCTGCACAGTAGAGAGTAAGAATTAGCAGCACTGTCTTAGAGTCCATCTTGTTAAACTCTGTCAGTCCACTATTCTCTGCAGACTCGCAGCAGTAAGATAAGTAGGTGGAAGTCATCTCAATATTTGCATAGGAAACATCAAAGGTAGAAATACATGAACGCAATACGGATAAAATCTTGGAGAAGCTCACGGCTCTTCAACTGGAAATTGATAGACCTGGTGACCAGTGATGGACATTAACCTTTTCACGCATAGTGGTCACTACAGTGGACAGCTATTCAAAGACTGTTTTCTTGTGTTTGTGTCTGTGTTGATGGTTTACTTGCAGATAAACAACTACATTGGGCACTGATGTGTCACTCCATACCCTGCCATGTTTAAAAAAAATGAAAAAAGTACATATTTAAAAAAATGAAGTTTAAAATACACATACAAGTTAAAAAAGCTGTACGCCCGTAGGCCGAGGCTGACGGGAACAACAAAAAATTCTACTTGATATCGGGACTGTTTGACTATTTCTCCATATCCTTCCAAGGCCGCCTGCGTAGGCTGCGGACTGTTGACTTTCACTTAACTGGGTGAAAGGACACTCTTTGAAGCTGAACACGGGACACACATACACTCGCACGTACTGGTACAGATACACACTCACCCACCCCCCTCCATCCCAAACGCCTGTGGAAGCAGATTTCTTTTCTTATGTATTAATCACATATTTTAATCATATCACATTAGTATAGCAAGAGCACTCTTGTCACTTAGTTGTATGCATGTGCACTACAGATGGGCCTTAGGTGACGGCTAAGCAGAAAACAAGGTCATAATTCTCTCTGTGAGGGAGGAGGTATAGCCCCCCGTGACATGGGTCAACATGTAAGAGTTGTGGAATGTTTCTTTGTTTGGGAAGCTATAAAAGAGTTCAGGGCAGTGTCCATCCTCAGAAAACTGTTTGGTGTTTGATCAGAACATTTTCTCCACTGCAGTGCTTTTCTTTTTCTTTTAATTTCATTTGCTATTTCATCTAGGGTTTGAGAGTAACGAAATTTCTATTCTCTGTATGACTTGTACATGTGGCAGAATTGACAAATAAAGTTGACTTTGACTTTGACTTTAATAAACCTAACTTCAAAAGACACGCTCACCTAGTAGTTGCAGTTTTGTTTAAGATTTTCCACAACACGCTTCCGATGCATGTCACATGCTTTACATGGTGTAAATGTGAATATTCATGTGCTTTTTTTGTATTGTCCTCAAACTGGTCTCCCAGTTAGGAGCTCAGTTCGAGTAGAGTTCTTTTTTCTCCTCTTGACCCCTGATGTGTGTACTTTCACTGATTTTCCTCTGGTGCAGCTACATCTGCTTATTTATTTATTTTTTTTATTTCAATTAAAACTTACAAATAAACGTAAAGTGTAAAAGTTACACACTCATTAATAAATACGAACTGCTAAGAAGATTTAGAAAATGCAGCGCACACTCTCCACTATTTCACTTTCAAAGCCACTTCAGAATTCTTCCTACCTGCAAATAATCCCCACAGATCATCTATCCAAGAAACAAAAATCTACAGTAAGGTCTAAGGATCTTTATTACACATATTGCAAGATCCTTTCATACTCACCTCGCCCACTCATAATAACTACCCTCTTCAAAAACTGTAAAACCACAGTTGATCTGTTGATTCTGATTTCAGAGTCCAATTTGAGCCCAAACATAACAGAACCTGGCAGCACTGATGGCCACTATTCCTATGTCCCTTTTATTGAAAATGGAAATGGTAAGAATACACAGGAAGTATTTTATTATATAAACACGTATAAGCGTTAAAATCATTAAACAATAATAAACTCATAATTATACCAGCTTTAATCAAAACATAGAATGTGGGAGGAAACCTTGTGCGTGTGAGTTTTGTATGTGTTTCCCAAATGACTCAGCTCAACTGTCTTTAAAATCTACCAACCCATCTTTGTCGTCTTTGTTTTTATCTCAGTTAACTGTCAGTTATCTCACAATAAACTGAGTTAACTCACTACAAGTATGTGTTCTTGCAAATGTACACTGTTCACAATTAAATAGTATTTTTTGTAGTTTTACTAACCACTTTTAACTACAAGTCACACTCTAACAATACATTTAGAATGACCAGTCATTCTAACAAACATGTCTTTGGTCTGTGGGAGAAAGCTGACATAAACCCATACAAGTACAGAACATAAATTTAATCTGGGAACCTCGCAGAGCCCTCTGACCTCTCTATGACCTGTGGTTTTTATGAGCACCATATATGATCCCACTTATGCTTTTTGTTACGCCTTCATTGTTTTAAGATTACCCCATGAACTTTCAAGACCAACAAGTACCTCTCTCTAGGCAAACCTGGGCATATGTGGTGAACACACAGACATTTGATTGAAAATTATGTAAGGGTTAATTAATGGTTTTTCTTTCTTATTTTTTT